TTTACATACTGAAGTTAAAGATTTAATGATGGAATTAATATTTAAATGCTGGAAATTGTGTTTACGGCGATGTACAACTCATAATAGTTGCAAAGGCATGCATTTTGAAACTAAAATTCTATATAGAAGCCAAAACTACAATGTTAGGAGCAACAATTATTGATTACCCGTCTGATATGTGAGAAAGAGGCTTTCATTTCCAGTCTCCTTTTTTTAATTTATTTAATAGCTTGTTGAATTGAATGAATAAATAGAAAATCCTCACTTTTTCTTTGTGAAGAGGTGGACAATGCATCAGCTGGTAACTTTCGTGTTCTAAGGAAGTTTCTTGCTATGAAACTAAGCTATGTATTTTTATTGTCAAGAAGGATCATATTTCAAAGGCAGATAGATACCTTTAAAGGGTTCCCTATCCTACATGTGATCATTTGATAAATTGAATCCACCTCATGCTATGTTTGATGTGCATTAATTAATAATGTCATAATTACTCGTCGTAAGAGTTGAGAACATTTTATTTTTTTAACATAAAATAAAAAAGGGCAAAAAGCCATGCTTAATTCAAAAACCGCGCTTTAAGCGTATTTTGTAAATGCGCTTTACTTTAACTACTATAAGCTTTTCTGCTATTGCACTTGAAGCCCACTTTTACCAACACTGGTCGTGCTGCTTATCATTCTCTGAAATAATGTTTCGTTAATGTAACACTAACCTGCATAGTGCACGTGCATGATCATGTCTGTATGCACGCGTGTTAAGTCTAACCTTGTTGTCATGCTGTAAATGAGTAAGATATCATAATAATAATTTGAATATATAAAGAATAAGTGTTGTGATTGGAGACCAATGATTTATAACAAGTTCGTTCCTGCTTTCAGAAAATTAAGAATCCCAACTACCAGCGCAAGTGGAAGACACCTATGATTGATAACCCAGGTTGCTTTTCCTTCTTTTTTTGAAGGCTTCATGTATTATCTCTAGTCTACATCTTTAAGTTACATGTTTCATTAACACCGAAAAATTGCTACTATATGCAGAGTTCAAAGATGACCATGAAATCTATGTTTTCCCGAATTTGAAGTATGTGGGCATTAAATTGTGGCAGGTATTTCTGTTTTTTCCCTTATAAATGGTTTATCATTCTTATGGAATTGTGACTATGACTAAGCAAGTTGCATGAATTTTGTCAGGTGAAATCTGGAACCCTGTTTGACAATGTCTTGATTTGTGATGATCCGGATTATGCGATGAAGCTGGCAGAGGAAACATGGGGCAAACAAAAGTATGTATGTTGTCTTTTGCCCCTCAAAAGCAAGTTTTGATATATTTGAAAATATCTTCAAATTGTTGAAGTTTGGGATTATATTTGATTTTTGCAGACTGAGAAGGCAGCATTTGATGAGGTAGAGAAGAAGAGAGGAGAGGAGGTATTATTTTTTGTTCATAATTGTTGTTATTTAATATTTCATTTAATAAATCTTTTACATTTTTTCTATTATTAATATCTCCGCTGTGAAATCTAGATTGGCAACTATAAATAATAGAGAAATAGTATCCTCTTATGATGTGTTTGGATCATGGATTTAGGTAAGGATTTGAAAAGGGCAACAGAAAAGGGAAAGGTGAGGCAAATGAGAATGAAATATAAGCTAAATTTTTTCCCTATTTTCATTTTCCTTTTCAAATTGTTGTACCCTAATCCATGAACCAAGCACTACATTAGTATTTATTTTGCCAGAAATACATCAATGCAGACAGAATAGATATCAGAACATGTATTAACATTTGTCAAATTTGAACATGTTTAACTAGCTTCTCTGAGTCATCAGTGTATTTATTTGGTTGAATACAATATTCCATGTCTTGTTGCCAACTTCTCAATTTGATTTTCTGTCAGGAATCAAAGGATGATCCTGTAAATTCTAATGTAAGTGCCACGAATTCATCTAAACAATATAATTTGTTTATTTTAACCGTGTCCTAATCTTGATAAACTGGTTTTTATAGGCTGAAGGTGATGATGATGAAACTGACAAAGATGCTGATATTACAGAAGAGTGCACATGTAGGATTTCTTTCTACTTTTAATTGTTTAAAAATATCAATTCGACAAAGGATCCACTTTGATATATCTTGTTTGTTGCTTTGTATTTGCAGGATGAGTTGTAGGGAGGGAGAGCACCGTTGTGGTTTTCTGCTGACAATTCACTCTCTCGAGATCTCTGAATTTTTTTCTTGCTTAGTTTATTTGTAGCTTTTAGTTTTGTTTGTGTTTTAGGGAAAGAAACATTGGTGGCTGCATAGCAAGCAAGAACTATGGCTAATTGTTTTAATCTCATTTGACTCTCTTGAGGAATTGAATCAGTAGTTGTTGGGTTTACCACTGTATTGAATCAGTAATTTTTTTTCGCAAAAAATGACAATTGCCGACCAAGAGTTCTGGTCGCAAAAAATACATTTATTGCCGACCAAAACAGTTCTTGGTCGTGGAATCTCACTTTTGCCGACCAAAAGTTTTGGTCGCGAAAAGTAACAAATGGCAACCAAAATTTTTGGTCGTGGAATGTCACGATTGGCGACCAAAATTTTTGGTCTTTTTTTCTTGCTTAGTTTATTTGTAGCTTTTAGTTTTGTTTGTGTTTTAGGGAAAGAAACATTGGTGGCTGCATAGCAAGCAAGAACTATGGCTAATTGTTTTAATCTCATTTGACTCTCCTGAGGAATTGAATCAGTAGTTGTTGGGTTTACCACTGTATTGAATCAGTAATTTTTTTTCGCAAAACATGACAATTGCTGACCAAGAGTTTTGGTCGCAAAAAATACATGAATTGCCGACCAAAATAGTACTTGGTCGTGGAATCTCACTTTTGCCGACCAATAGTTTTGGTCGCGAAAAGTAACAAATGGCGACCAAAATTTTTTGGTTACGGAATGTCACGATTGGCGACCAAAATTTTTTGGTCGCGGAATGTCACGATTGGCGACCAAAATTTTTGGTCGCGGAATGTTACAATTGGCGACCAAAATTTTTGGTCGTTGAATGTGATAATTGGCGACCAAATTTTTTGGTTGCGAAATGTGTCAATTGGCGACTAAGATATTTGGTCGGGAAAATATCACTTTTCGCGACCAAAGTGTTTTCATGACTAAATGAATTAGTCGCGGTAATGATATATTTTGCGACCAAAAATTTAGTCGGCAAATCCGACTTTTCCCGACCAACCAAAATTTTGGTTGCAAATTACTTTTGCCGACCCTCAATTGGCGACCAAAGTAGCGACCAAAAAAATTGGTCGCGGACAATTTTTGCCGACCAAAAATGGGCTTTTAGCGACCAATTTTTTGGTCGGCAAAAGTGTTAATTATCCAAAATTTAATTTAATTTATGTGCAAAAGATTAGTTTTCGGGAGTTAATTTACAAAGATTTCTCTCAACCGAATAACCTCCCGCTGACTATGGCATGTCTAAAAGCATGATAAAAATTCTAATTCCATACAATAGCATCATAGTGTAGATTCACAATCAATACATGCTATGTTACATTTAATAACGGAATTAAAATAAAAAATAATTAATCATGCTGTTCTAATCACAACATATTACAAACCCTAAAAAAATAATATACTGTATGTAATATTCAAATTATGCCATAATTAAAATGTATATCATTCTGAAATTTTCTGAAATTTTAAATAACTAATAAACACACATTAAAATTAGAAATAAAAAAATTCAGAAACTGATAAACTGAAACAATAATACTAGTAAATAGTAAAACTTTTCAGAAGTCTACAATAAAAATTCCAACTCCAGAAAATTATTTATGCAATACCAGAAGCATTTTAAAGCATAAAACATGAATTATTAACACAATTTTTTTTTTATTTTCGTAAAATTTTCAAAATTTTACAGAATATAGAAAAATTAATTCTGAGTCTAACAGTACTAACCACGCATAAAACAAATCTATAATGAATTAATTATGACCATTTAACGCGATTCAGAATTTAAAACAGAACAAACAGACCCTTAACCACAGCCGTCAAACCAGCTAAGCCAGCATGGAAAACGGTGCGACTCGGCTCGGAGAGCGGCTCAGCGCGTGTCTCAGCGCCCGGCGCGCGCGTGGGCAATGCGGACGGCGCGCGCGTGGCAGCTCGTCTCAGCCCGTGAAGGCGCGTGAGAGCGCGCGGAGGCGCGTGACAACGCGTAGAAGCACGTGTCCGCCGCTGACGACGTCATCTGGAGCGTGAGGCACACCCGCTGCCTTCCGGGGTGTTTTCTGGTCCGATTTCGATACTGCCAAACTCCATTTTTCACAATAAAAACATTTATGACATTAAAAATAACATTTAATGAACATAAAAAATGAAGACATCTTCCTCCTTTATTAATATTCATGCATATATCATGTATATATATTTATATAAAAATATACACATATTTTAATGCATAAAAATAAGCACGAAAATACTTATATTCACTCTGATACTAATGTAAAACAAAGTATAACGCAGCGGATGAAAAATTATGGTCATACCTTGTTCAGCAGAGTCTGAAGTGAAGGATCTCGTGGATAAATGACGTGCTTCTAGGGAGTGAACAACCAACCCAGCAGTGGAGTGATATTACAAAATGAATATCACCCATACAAATCACAGTGCAAAATGGCTTGATCGTTGTTTAATGAGAGAGAGTCAGAGAGAGAGTCTGGGAAAAAAGGTTATGGGTAAAAATCACATAACGTATCTGATATACGTATCTGATATATGAATATATTTGAACCATATAATCTGATATATAACCACATATATCAAATATATTATATATAAAATATATAATCAGATATAACAACCAATATCTATCTATCCATCTATCCATATCTATTGATATGATAGATATAGATATCCTGAATGGTGATCCAAATAAGTTTTGAATTCAAATTCAAACTTACAAGGATAATGTTCAAAAGGTTCAGGTTCAAAAGGTTCAAAGGGTCATGCCACATGGGCGCTCAATTTCTAACAGCATCTTTATACCATTTAAAGAGGTCAAATTTTTCCTTTTGAAGGTTTACGAACTAACAGGTGTGGTTAGTCTATTGTTCTTTAAGGGGTATGCCAAGCTCAACAATGCAGAAAAACTTGAATGGAACAACAGGTGACGTTCTTTTCCACTCCAATGCCATTTTGTATTAATGTTGTTGTTTGTGATTGTTTTTTAGTGGTTTCAGCAACTCAAATACGTATGGCTTTTGTCGTTTAGGGGTTTCTCTACATCTCATGCTCTTGTTGTGGCAGTTGCTTCTGTCTATCTCTTGCTATTTTCAGATCTTTTTGATGAGAATTATGATAACAAGTTAATTGTCCACAGAAGTTCTACTTTATCAGACACCATATTGGGGGTATGTTATTGCATGAAGCAGAATTGTGAAGTTACTTTGGTAGACTTAATATAACTTGTTGATTATTAATTTGACATGTCCTCTTCTTGTAAATGGATGATTTTTCCAACAAGGTCAGTGGTTGCAGAATAAAAGTCTTAAGAGATGCTTGTAGAGAAGGTAGACATGTGTGCCCACAAGATCTGCATATGATGCCCTTCCTAATTTTCATTTGCAATTGTGTCATCTTCGGAAAATCTTAGATATTGACAAGATTTCAATTATGCCTTTGGGAACCCAGTTTAATGAGTGCAAAAAGAATCATCTACAAAGTAATTTAATTAATATATTGTGAAATAATTGAAGTTAAAAGTATGAGAAGAAATCCACACTTTAGACTGCACCAACAACTGTAAATGAACTATATCTAGTCAAACTTCTCCATGATACATGCTCTCTCTCTCTCTCTCTCTCTCTCTCTCTCTCTCTCTCTCCTGATTCCTTGCTAGTGTTCTTGTCATGAATGTCATAGCCTCTTATTTTTGAACAATTTTCTTGCTAGGGATTTACGATTATTGAACCTAGTTTTGGTATTCCACAATGTCACTTTGTTAGTTTTGTTGCTGCGTGGTTGACAACAAGCAATCATGATAATGCATTTTGTTTGACACCTTACAATTCCTAATAGACAATAATTTTTTACTTGAAGGAATTCAATATGTTGTATGCACCTTTCTTTTGGATTCAATTATATGTTAATGAAGTTGCATTTTTTTTATTGAGAAATCTGAAATTTACTTCAATAATAGTCTTTTCACTGTTTTTCCTCGTGGAATTTTCTTTATTTGATTCTTTTTTTCAAATGTGTATACAGATATCCATTGGTTATTTTCTATCAGACTTGGCGATGATTCTTTGGAATTATCCAGCTTTAGGTGGTATGGTGTATGTAAGTATAGACATTCATGTTGTTTGTCACCAAAATATTGTTTTAGGAAATCCTATGACTTCATCTATTGTTGTAAGCTTGTAAACATCATATCCTAGGTGATTTAAAATGTCTGGGGGTTTGGTGTCCTTATTTTTGAAATACGGATATTCGTAACTATCCGGTTTATAAATCATCTCATTTTTTCTGTCAGGTCTTGCACCATGGACTATTAATGTTCTCAATCTTCCTCTCCATTGTACATGGTCAAGGACAGTTTTACATACTAATGGTTCTCTTTACCGAGAGCACAACTCCCTTTGTTAATTTAAGATGGTAAATTTAGCATCCAGAAATTTCTTGATTTTCATATTCTTGGTGCTTAACCTTGGCTCATCACTGTTAATACATATGCAGGTACTTGGATGTCACTGGTCAGAAGAATTCTAAACTTTACTTCTGCAACGATGTTGCCTTATTTTTTGGGTGGTTGGTAATGTCTGCCAAACCTTAATATCTTGGTCCTTTGCAGTTGTTTTTTCTATATACAGAAGACTAGTCTACTGATGTGCATATTAAAATGCAAACATATGGAAATTGAGATTTTGCTGGCCAGCGATAGGGTTTGGGAAAGTCTGAATTATGCTTAGTTTAGGCAGAACATGTTCCCACACATGTCCACCTTATTATCAAAAATTGATAAAAAAGAAAAAGAAAAAAAAAAGAGTAGAGACATTTTAACATAATAAAATCATTCTCTAATACTTCAAAGTAGTTGCGAAAGAAGCCATCACTTCCCAAACACAGTGTGAAAAATCTAGAAATCCCCTAGATGTTGATTTGTGATTATGTATCAATTTTAAGCAATATATAACAATCCCTATCAAACAATCAAGACAAATTGACACAACGATTTTACGTGAAAAAACCACAATTGGACACCTCCAATTGTGATAAAAAAACTACGGGTAACAGCCACAAAACAATCCACTAAGAAGATATAAAGGAATTACATAGGTATACTCTCAATTACCTAGCGAATCCACGCCCGAATTAAACCAACCTCTATGTGCCTCTTCCAACCCCGTCTTCACATCGGAATTGTCTTGACGATGAGCCACTCCGGAATCCACCAAAGCTTCAGGCTCGAATTCTTCAGAATCCACCGAAGAACAACTTTCTCTTTTGTGTAGAATAAACAAACAAACCTTTGACGTATGCTTCTTAAACCATGAGTTCAATATTCAATGAAAACATCAAAGAAAACTAGCAAAATATTCCCAGATATAAACCTTAGAATCCAAAAAGAAGATCTGGAGGACTTGTCTAAGTTTTGGGAGAAAACCAACTACTTATAGAAATCCAAAGTAATCTTAGTTTTGAAAGAAAACCAATTCCTTATAGAAATCCAAGAATCTATGTTCGCGCGGTCCGCTCGAGCGTGGTAATTCCCGCTCGAGCAGAGGCTTCAAAATTGTGTGATTCATATAGGCTTCACGCTCGAGCGGAAGTTTCCACGCTCGAGCGTCGAATCACACCATCCAGTACTTTTTCAGGCGAAGCAGAGATGTTGTGAGCTTGCGATCCCCGCTCAAGCGTCACTTTCCCCGCTCGAGCGCGGAGACCAAAATTGGAAAATCTGGAAAACTAGATCCTGTTACAACCTCGGTTTTGATCCATGGAATTTGACAACAAAGGGTCTTAACAATCTCCCCCTTTGTCAAATCCCGGACAAAACCATTCTAAAACAGTTTTTCCTAACAAAATCACAAAATCAACACCACCAACTATGAACCAACATTCACAACCAAATCTCAAATCCATGCTCTTGAACAATTATCCTGAAAGAAAACAACCACACACAAGCCAACCAAAAATATGTGGAACTGGATTAAATAACAAAAGATAAGTCCATCCATAAACAAAACATTATCCAAATATATTATCCATCCAAAACATATGACAATCTAACTGTACCAAAGAAGGATGGACTGTAGTAAAAATAACTGTACCATGTACCAGTACCATGTACACCAACAAGATATACCAAAAACTATACCACCCCCTTTTTTGTCACGAATTGACAAATGAAGCTCAAACAACTATAGCATGAAATAAGGAAATAATAAGCAAACAGAGCATAGCAACATGCAAAACAACAATATCCAATCTCCCTTACCAAACAAAACAAAGTGTTCATGCTAACAAACTCTTGCAATGAAAAACCAAACTCCCTTACCAACCCAAATCAAGAAGAACCAAACTCCCCCTTACTAAAAGCAACCACAAACACTGAAAACAGTGAACAAGAAGAAAACGACAAAAATAATATGGTGGAGCAAGCAAGAAATTTTATATTAGTACCTTAAAACACACAGGACTATCCAAGAAGCACAATTACTAGTAAACACAATGTGCACAGTCTGTAGAAGATTTCTTATGAAAGAAAGCGATGCATTATGTGAAAAGCATAGATCCCATGATAAAAGTGTGTGTGTGACTCTTGGAGTTTGACAAACACTAGATTCAATCCTAGTAGTGATCTGAAAGTTGAACCTCCGACAAGAGAATCTAAGCACAACAAAGGAAAGTCAAACCACTAGGAATCAAGGGTTATTTGGTGAGTAAAGGCGGAGGCTCCCCCTCAATCAATGAATTTTTTCTTTCTTTTGCACATTTTTTCTTTCTTTTGCATATTTTTTCTTTTTCTTTTTCTTTTTCTTTTTCACACTCATTGGCAGCTAACACGCTCAAGAGTATGGAAACCGAACCAGAGAAGCATGGATATAACAAGGATGGCCTAGTTGGTGACTCTGAGGTAGCTTTTTCCTCATGGCTGGACTACAAAGAATAGAGGGGAAAGCCGTGGAGATGCAAAAAGATGGAAGATGATTAAGAGACTCGACATCACCCATGATATGCTAGTATAGGTCAATTCCTCTAGAAAAGCAAAAGATACAGTGCCAGAAGTCCATAGAAAAAAAAAATACTAAGGCGAAAGACTCCAAAATTTGCTAATCCAAGACTGTGTACAGAATGAGACATACTAATCAAAAAATACACACTCCAAAATGAGTAATGACCATAGAAAGCACACATATATTAACATGTAATGGATATTCTCATCAATTCCAATATGCACCAAGGACCACTCAAAAATTTTAAGCTTGCAAAACCATACTAAGAAAATCTTTTTGGAATTTTTTTTCAAAAATAAAGCAAGACAAAAAAATGAACAAGCACACATGTAATGACAAAAAAAAACACACAGAAACCCAAAAACTAAAATGACAAAACAAATTAACCCAAGTCAAGTTTTCTTACCCAAACTGCTTTAGTACGAACAAAGTTGTGAGAATTGCGGTTCTTGGGTGGTGTCTTGATGTTGTGGTTCATTTCCCCTGCAATGGGAACCCGTCTCGACTTGGCTTCCAACTTCCAATTTTTAGGTCTAGGAAAGACACTCTCCCATGCAACTTATAACAATAAGGGTGAATATGACCATGCATTCCACAATGATGACATATAAAAACATAGTGTACCTTTTTTTTTTTTACCTTACCAACTCTAGGAAGTTTGAAAAGTCCATCCTTATGTTGAATTTTTTGTTCTCCCTTTCCTTGAGTTCTTGTATCATGAGATGTTGATGCACTCTGTTTTTGCTCTTTCTTACCACCAAAGCCAACGCCACTCTTGTCAGAACAGATTTGTTGAGATCCAATGATATTGTCCAAAGTCTTTGATTTTTTGTTCCAAAGACCAATGGTAACCATGGCACACTTGAGTTCTTCCTCTTTCTTGATCATTAGTTCTTCCAAAGCAACTTGAGACATCTCGAGAGTTTCAATTTTTTCTTCATATGTTGCATAGATTTGTTGTAGCTCGTTCCTCTCTGTCTCACAAGTCAAGAGTTTTGCACAAAGAGCTTGTCGATCATTAGCTATCTTAATGGCATCAATCCTAGCCTCGGAAATCTTCTCCTTTAGTTTGACATTCTCACTTTCACATGCTGTGAGTTTCATAGTGAGTTTGTCATTCAATTTGGATAACTTAAGAGATTCCTTATACAATTTTTCATAAGCTTGCTCAAGCTCTTCATCATCACTTCCCGAGGATTCATCATCAGTGGTATTCTCAACCGGGCTCTTCGGACACTTTGTTTGTCTTTCAGTTTCAGAAGCCACCATGAAAGCAAGGAATTGTTTATGTCCCTCTTCGCCTTGATCTTCGTTGTCACTTTCATCTTCATTAGATTCTGATTCATCATCCCAAGTGATGGCGAGGGCTTTATTCTTCTTCTAACGAGCGGGGCATTCTAAAGCAAAGTGGCCATATCCTTGGCATTCGTAGCATTGGACTCTTTCAGAGTTCCCTTGTAGCTTTCCTTTCTCCTTCTTGGCTATAGAATTAATTTTGAGTTTATCTTTACCTTTAGATTTATGAGTATGAGTAGATTCTAAAAGATTAGGATTCTTTTTCAAAAAGGATTTTTTTTCAAAAAGGATTTTTTAAATTGTTTAACAAAAGCAGTCGTAATCTTGGAATCTATCTCACAATCCTCATCAGAATCTTCTCCAACTCTATGAGCACTACTAAAAGCAATATCTTTTTGTTTCTTTTTGAAGTTCCTATGTGCCTCATAAGTTTGGAAATTTCCAACCAACTGATCCAGCTTGAGGTTGTCAACATCTTGAGCCTCCTCAATAGCCATAACTTTTGGTTGGAACCGATCGGGCAAGGATCTCAAAATTTTTCCCACAACTTTGGATTCTAGTATTTTTTTCACCTAAATTGAAGCTGAAAGTTACAATATCACTCAACTTCGCATAAAATTCATCAAAGGTCTCACTATCTTTCATTGAAAGGTTTTCGAAACTAGAAGTGAGCCTTTGAAGTTTTGAGCATTTAACAGAAGAAGTGCTCTCATGAATAGTTTGTAAGATATCCCAAGTTCACAATTACAAATACGACTAAACTCTTCAGGTGTGACAGCGCAAAAGAGAGAATTGATAGCTTTACTATTCCAGCTACTATTTTGGTAATCAATTGTGTCCCACTTTTCAATTGGTTTGGGGAAAGTTACTCCATCAACGGTAATTGTTGGTTCGGTCCACCCATTCATGATAGATTACCAAACTTTTTCATCTATAGATTTTAAAAACGATCTCATCCGAGCTTTCCAAAAAGAATAATTGGATCCGTCAAGTAAGGGTGGTCGAACCATAGAATTTCCCTCATGAATTGAATCCATTATCACAAATCAAACAAGATCTCGTTCTAAAAGATATATATTTTTTTTAAAAAAATAGAACGACCTGCTCTAATACCAATTGAAAAATCTAGAAATCCCCTAAATGTTGATTTGCGATTATGTATCAATTTTAAGCAATATATAACAATCCCTATCAAACAATCAAGACAAATCGACACAACGATTTTACGTGAAAAAACCACAATTGGACACCTCTAATTGTGATAAAAAAAATCACGAGCAACAGCCACAAAACAACCGACTAAGAAGATATAAAGGAATTACACAGGTATACTCTCAATTACCTAGCGAATCCGCGCTCGAATTGAACCAACCTCTATGTGCCTCTTCCAACCCCGTCTTCACATCGGAATTGTCTTGACGATGAGCCACTCCGGAATCCACCAAAGCTTCAGGCTCGAATTCTTCAGAATCCACCAAAGAACAACTTTCTCTTTTGTATAGAATAAACAAACAAGTCCTTGATGTATGCTTCTTAAACCATGAGTTGAATACTCAATGAAAACATCAAAGAAAACTAGCAAAATATTCCCAGATATAAGCCTTAGAATCTAAAAAGAAGATCTAGAGGACTTGTCCAAGTTTTGGGAGAAAACCAACTACTTATAGAAATCCAAAGTAATCCTAATTTTAGAAGAAAACCAATTCCTTATAGAAATCCAAGAATCTGTGTTCGCACGGTCCGTTCGAGCGTGGTAATTCCCGCTTGAGCGGAGACTTCAAAATTGTGTGATTCATATAGGCTTCATGCTCGAGCGGAAGTTTCCACGCTCGAGCGTCGAATCACACCATCCAGTACTTTTTCAGGCGAAGCAGAGATGCTGTGAGCTTGCAATCCCTGCTCGAGCGTCACTTTCCCCGCTCGAGCAGGGAGGCCAAAATTGGAAAATCTGGAAAACCAGATCCTGTTACAACCTCGGTTTTGATCCATGGAATTTGACAACAAAGGGTCCTAACAGAGTGGGTTGAATTTGATTTACTAATAGTTAATATAGAATAGGGGTGACCATTGGTTCAATGGTAAAACCTTGGCCTAATAACCTTGAGGTTATGGGTTCAAGTCTCGGGACAACCCCTTTATGCACTACGCCAAAGGTTAGGTGTATACCTAATCTTTTCCCTCCCAAACACACATTAATGTGTACTAATTGGGCGTTGTTTTTAATAGTATATAGAATGATGTTACCCATATTGAAAAGATTATCCTCAATTGCTATGGAAGTTCCATATCTTTTATGGATGCTAGCCTATTGTGTATAATATATAATGCCATAGAATTTTCCTCATTTTTCCTATTCTGTTATGAGAAAGGTAGGCCCCCCTTGTTCTCTATTTTGTTATGAGAACAATTTTCAAAAAATTTAAAACAAAAACCTGTTTTTGCCTTATGCTTTCAAAAATTTTGGAAACAAAATCATGAACCAAATGAACCCTTAGGTGCCGTTTGGTAACAGTTACGTTTTTAGTTTTCTGTTTATATTTACAAAAAATTTAAAAACTCAAATAAAAACTTGTTTGATAAATTTTTGATTTATAAATCAGTGGTTTCAGTTTATAAATTTGGCCAAAAAAATGTAAACTCAAAAAATGTGTTTCCGTTTTGAGTTTTGAGTTTTTTTTTTTTTTACCACCCAATTTTTCAAATTGTGCGAAAAATAAAAAAATTCACGGTTTCGGTTACCGCAACCGTTACACTACGGCTTTTACACCCCGCAACCGCAACCACAACCGCACCACCGTTACGGCGACCGCAACCACTTTTCAGAACCTTGCTTGGTGGAGATATTTAAGAGGAGATTTGTGTTGCAATTATCTTGGATTCTTGTCTTCTTTCTCATTTTAAATTAAAGAGGGAAGAAAAAGAAAGGGGAAAAAAAAAACGAATAGAGTTGTTTACCACCGCCACCTGAACCAATGCCTTGGGGCAATGATTCCTTTGATTCCTATAGTCTCCCATCCCTAGGTTTTTCTGTTGGCTCTTTTGATGAGCTAAATCTCACGTGGATAATTCTGTAATAGTTGTTGAAATTTTATTATTTTGTAGAACTAGTAAGTATGCATATGCACGATCAGGTGATCAATGTAGCATTTTAAGTGGATACGTTGCTAGCTTCTGATATTTGTCTCCATTTGTGTAATTGCGAATATTTAATGGCACGGTTGTTCTTTTACACTAACAACACAGCCTTTCAAAACGATGAAGTTTTTTATTTTGGCTATTATTCAGTCCACCACCACCCGCTACCCACCACCCACCGTCACCACTTTCCACTACCGTCTTCCGCCGCCACTTGCCACAACTTGCCATTTCTCACTCTTTTTTATATTTTAATTTTTTTTAACATTTTGTCAATTACCAAACGCGTTTGTAGTTTATGTTTTTCTAAAAATAAATAAAAATCAGTTTATAAAATTTTTATAAATATAAATTGAAAACGTAAACGTTATCAAATAGACCCTTAATGTTTGTACTTGTAGTGCATAATTCAAGGAGGGTATGGAATTAAACAAACTAGGAATGAAGAATGGGAAGTGAAAAGAGGATACATGTTTAGAATGAATCCCTCTCTTGGCCTTTTGGTGTGCGATGGAAGATCCCTATACTGATTTATTAAGTTTGTACACATCAATTTAGATACTTTTCAATATGAAAATGAGAACAAATTTGATGCACACCACTCAAAACTTCTACAATCGAGGTTAGAGATTCCTTAGGAAGATAGCATCCATTATGCATATTTTGCATATGCCTTTGATGCGGAGTATAAAAAGCTCAAGAAAGGCTAAATTGAAAGAAATAATGATATTTGGATGTTGGCATAATATCAAAGAGAAATTGGTAGGAATCTTATATAACTATGTTTATAGTATTATTAGAGTCTTATTTTATGATTATATTTATGTTTTTTAAGATTTTAAGCTTAGGTGTATCTTGGTAATTTGCATAATTTCCGAATGTGTGTTGTGTGGGTTGCCCATGAGTTGTCTTGTTGGTCAAATTATTTAATTAGTTTTTGTTTTTGTTTCTTATTTAGTCTTAGATTAGTTTTGAAAGTCATAGATATTATAATAGTTTTTTTTTTTATATATAGTTGGTTAAGGAAGTCTTCTGGTTCTACATGAAGTTATGCAATGCTTATAATTTAATAGACATGATATTTTACAGAATTTTAGAGCTTTTAAAGTTTCCTTATGAATTGTGTGATACAATCAAACCCTAGGTGTAATATCTAAGAAATTCTAAAAGTGATTCCTAGACTTATCTTCTTCTTCTCCTTCTTTCCGTATTTTATTTTCTGCACTTTAACAGCCCAAAAACACTGTTCACAGATACTTTCACAGCCCCAGAACAGCCCTTGCAGCGCTGTCCTGCATTAGCCTTCCTCATAGTTTTTACCCCTAACATGTTTCATACATGCGCCGATGGCCTTAAATGAATATATGATTGTTCCTTATCTCTCATATCATTTTGGGGTCATGCATTTTCTTTTCCTTCTTTGATATTCTCGAGGACACAGAAACGTGATGTGATGAGTTGGTCTCTCTTTAGAACAATTGTTAAACGTTCAACTAGCAATCTCCTAAATTTCTTTTGAATTTCTAGTGGTCTATCATACAAATACTATTGTTTTTTGGGTAAACATATAGATCAAGTTGATCAACGATTTGGGAATTTCATGCTAGTTACTTTGCTTATATGTTACCAGATATGTTTGTGACTCGTAAACTTTTGGGGCTTTCAGGTTTCAAGGATTCTTCTGTTCATCTTCTGCTGTTACCATTTGCTTACCCATTTTGATCAGGTGAATTTGTTGGTCCTTGATTAAATTGAATGAAAATGAGGCAATTAAGAACAAGATTTTACTAGTTTAATTATGATATTTCAACATATCTCTAATATATTTAAGTCATGAGACCCTGACCTTCAAGTAAATCTTTATTACCTGAGTAAAGTTGATGCAAAATCGTAGTTTGGAATCACATGAATCAGTCAGAGTTACGTTGTACCGAGATATTCTAGAACTAATTAAATCATGTCACTTCAGGACCTATCTGATTTTCAAGAATTAAGAAAGCTCTTGTATAATATTCGAAGATCTTGTGAGATATCAATTTTTTTTTTCTTTCTGAACTCTTCCCTTGGCAACTAGAGAAGGCATGGGGGAAATCTTTTATGCACTATTGACTTATGCGGGAATGACTACAAAACATTAGTCCCCTAGTATTTCTGTGTCTCACTTCATTTTAAGAATGTGAATTTTTGAAAGAGGGGAAAAAAAAAATCTTATTCAGACCTTTCTTCTCAGAGGTCGAAAAGAGGTTTGTGTTTAGATGTCACCATACAAGAAACATTGGTTTATAGCAATTCCCAAATATAGTTCGCAGAGGGCTTAATATAATCTCACTCTCTCTGAAATGAGGTTGTTGTCTTTTGTTCTGTTTCTGTTATTTTCTTAGGTCAAGCAAATGTTTCCCTTGGCCTTCTACAGCTGGCTTGCAGTGCCTCCTGTGTTGGCAGTGATGAATTTGTTTTGGTTTTGGAAAATTGCCAAAGGTATGATCAAAATGTAAGAATATAGGATCTATATACTAGAAATCAAAACACTATGAATATAATTAACTACTAAAACATAAAACTTGGATACATACCGTTTGATTCCGTTATTGTCTTGAGTTTTGATTCTTTGAAAGATGATGGTATTCACAATCGGAAAACCTTAGCACCAGCTCTTCTCCTCCTTCTCCTAATCTTTATGTTGTCTTTCAATGGGGCTGACAACCCTTTGATCTACATATATATAGATATATGTAAACCCTAATAAGGATAGGAGAGGGGACTGGGCCTAAATAAAACAATTACTAGGCCCTCCCATTAAGGAACCCAAATAACTTAAAACAGGCCTTACACCTCCATATCACATATCCACATATAAAATAATATATACACTAAGATGACCATGGCCCAAACTTTATGGATCACAATAATAATTTTGGGCTCATACCAGTCAATCTATCTGAATCACGTTCAACCCGTTTTTCACAAACCAAACAAAATATAGTCAATGACAGCCTAATTAAGAATAAATTCTTACATTCTCCCACTTAGGCAACATTGACTACTACTTTAAGAAAATATTTTATTTAAGAAAAAAGACTCTCGGGTTAAACAACTTTAATGGCCACATAAACATGATTCAGAATAAAAACATCTCAATACAGAATCCCGTTCAATGAGAAATATTAATATCGAACTGTAGCGGTAATTATGCTATTGAACAACATAACACCTTCCACAATTACAAACACTAATATCTCACCAACATGGATTCCTATATGTGATAAAGTGTAGTGTGGAATTTCAACATAATTGATCCAAAAATTATATAACATGCTAATTCCACATTCAGTCCTCTGTATGGTCTTGACAAGACCCTACAAGGAATTTTATTCCATTTTACACTTCCAAAAGAAGCCTTTATTCCACTAAACCGAGGTCTTTCATGCTTTAAACAAAGCATCATACTTTATGGATCCATATACACTTCTAAACCGAAGTATTAATCTTTATATCTCAAAATAAAAATATAACTATAAGAGCTCATGTAAGAGGTATACATATATGACAATTACCATTTATGCGTACACACACATAACTATAACCAAAATGTGAATAAACACATTAAACTTTATTAACTGAAATATACCATAGATAATATTCATGGGTAAAAAATTTCTTCAACCAAGCACATAAAAACTGTAAAGTACCCATATG